GCTTATCTGACTACATCTTACTATTATAGCCGAGTTTCAAAAGGAGACACACTCAGAAGGAGTTTTAAAGATTTATTCCGGCCGGGACTGCAGCAGCCAATTCAAGCTGCGGCCCCGAGTCCAGGGTTACTTTCAGTTTTAAGCCATTCGTGGCAGGCTTGTTAGCCCGCCTGATAGCCTGCCTGATGCAGTTTAGCCAATGCAAGCAAGCCTTGTTACATAAGCTAATTTTGTGGTAAGCCTTTAGCAGGAGCTTTCCACCTGTCCCTCCCCCTTATTACTTCCTTGAATAAAAACAGAATGGATGTATTTTTTACAATATGGTGTTACTTGTGTTAACTTTAACTGGCAGCTAGTGACATCCTGTTAGGCACTCAGGATGTTCTGCAAAAGTGAGCACAGCTGGCTTACAGAGGCTGAAATATGCAAGTTACAGCACAGCATAAAACTTTTCACAAAAACATGTTTTGAAGAAGCTTTTGGGTAAGGGTCTTTATCACACCTGGGTATAAGGGCAAGAAGTGTGGTTACTTGAGGAGGGGTCTTAGAAAGCTAGCCTGTTTCTCATCTACACAGGAAGGAGCTGAGAGCTGACAGCCTGTGGTTTTCTTGCTAACACAAGCACAAGCTTGTGAACACAGAGCTATAGACTACAGAAATATTCAGCTGTTTTTTGCAACTGAGACAAAGATGGGTTTTTCCATGTTACTTGTAACGCCATTGTTTATGCTAGTGAGATATTTATGTCTATTGTATCTGTGTGGTAGAAGTATTATACAATAGGTACTCTTAGTATACAAGAAGTGTGCAACTGTTCATCTCTTCCCAACTCTGCACTCAGTGATAACACAGTGGAAACTTAATCAGCCATAGTGGAAATATTTATACCATGGAATTGGCAAACACTACAAATCGGGGCTTGATTTACTGTTTTGTTGATTATCTAGATTTAAGAAAGTCGTGGAGAATATGTTAATAAGGCAGATTATTGAAAAGTGTCTCATGTCTGTAGCCATTACATTGTAAAGAGCACAAACAATTAGGGAATATTCTTCCAGAATTGGAAAACTATCACCCAATTCAGCAAAGGAGTCATGTAATTGACAAAGACTCCTGACATATGTCTTCATTGTTTCATTTTACTTGTTAATGTAAACAGAAGTATCAACCAAAATTGGCTACAGATATGTTTGGCAAAAATCTTTGAAACACTCTTTGAGAATCAATTGGCTATTTTGAAAATTGCCATAGAGTATTGTATGCTTTATTATTATTTGTATATGCTATATAACCATTATATCGGTAAAATTTATAATAAACATACACACATATGCAAACTTTTTTTTCCAGAAAGCAAGTTGTTCAATATTTAATAGCACATCACTGATGGAGATCATGCATGGTACAGTGTGTTAATAAAATATTGTGTGTTTTTCTTTCTTAATATTATCTAGATTGTACTCTCTGAGAGTTAATGCTTGTCTTGAGACATGCATGTGTGTCTGATTCAATGGTTACCTAACTGGATAACCAGGAAAGATCTTTACTCTGCCTTACCCTTCAACTCACACAAACTTGGAAAGGTCAAAGTCTACTTTGGAGTTTTCTGCAGAAGCCACCCTCCACCTCCCACCCAACTGTAGTATTTGTGAAACTACATTATTCCTATTTGGGAATTACTATAGTGACAGATTAAGGAGTATTGGAGACTTTCCCAATGGAGGTTTGAAGAAGCTCCTGAAAGGGATCGGAGCATAGGGAGTGAGGCTAAAAACTGGGATGTGTTCATTGGGTGACTCCCTCCGGGGGGTGAATTTCTTGCAGTGCTTCTTCCTTGGCCTATATGGTCACATCCTGTTGAGGGGGGGGAGGGGACCCTGGGCCAGGAGTTTCAGGAACAAAGTGAGGTCGAGTGGTGGGCATTTGAATTTCTTGCAGTGCTTCGTCCTTGGCCTACATGGTCACATCCTGTTGAGGGGGGGGGAGGGGACCCTGGGCCAGGAGTTTCAGGAACAAAGTGAGGTCGAGTGGTGGGCATCAGGTGCTCACACACACTGATTCAGGACAGACGGGAAAGCAACTTACGCTTCAATGGGAGAAATGCAGAGCCTCATGCTAGTTTATAGAGAAGTTGAAAGGGAGGATTTAGATGAAGGAGGGAGAGAGAAGTTTGGCCCCAAAATGCAGACGCAGGTTGCTACACTAAGATTAGCCTTGACTGTGAGGTGGGAGGAGAACCAAGGAACAGCTATGTGAACGTGGCCGCTTCTACGCTGAAAGACCACTCACTGCCTCCCAGGCCCTGAGAGGATTCGTGCTTCCTAGGAAGTGAGGGAGTTCCAGGAGGCAGACACCTACAGGAGACAGAGAATTGAGAGGGGATAAGCACACTTTTGATGGGGGAGGGTTCGGCAAGTGAATAGGATAAAAATTATTTAGGAGTGAAGACAAAGTACTGCAGGGGCTAATGTTAGTAACAATTTGCTCCTTCTAGAACTTTCCTTCCCCCCCAGAAGTCCAGCTGTCCTTCTAGAACTTTCTTTTCTTGGCTTTCAAGACCTGCCATCCTGATCCTCTAATGGGTCCTTCCCTGTCCACCAGGAATGAGAAGCGTACCTTGAGTGGCAAGGCACATTGTTGGAAATTAATAAATCCTTGAAAGAAATCCAGAAATGGCCAATTAAAACTTCCATAAATAAAGGGTTTCAGTATCACTCTGATTTTATTCTGTATAAAATGATGATGTGAGGAAAAAAAGAAACTGCCCATTTCTGAACCCACAACTCTGGGGAGAGAGGGGTGCTCATTTTTTCTGTGGTTGGGATGAGACTGAGACAACAGGGAAACAGTCACCACTGGCTGAGGGCTAAGACCAGCCCTTCCGTGTCCTCTTCACTTCCCTTGCTGGGGTCCAGGATAGTTTGGATCAGATGAAGAGAGCCATCTGCAGGTAGAAAGCTGGAGGCCAGAGAAAATACCTGAATACTGTTTAGCATTATTGTGGATCTGGAGCACAAGCCCAGTAAACTCTCTCTCTTTGGCCCATCTCTGATTCTCTTCGTTCTGAGACTCAGCTTCATTGAAGTTAAGAAACAATAGGTAATGTAAGGTCTGGCCGTGCAGGAGAAAGCAGCTCTAATTTTGGCAGAGTCTAAGACACTTGGCCACCTCCTTCACAGAGAAACAGACTCCATTCAGGTGAGATCTCCCACCGCCGCCCCTCCAGGACTCCTTCACAATCACCTGCTTCTGTGCTCCCTCTCTGTCCCGCTGCTGGGGCAGTAGGGCAAGTCCTGCTCCCAAGGCTAATGCCACCAGGAGTCCCTCCCACCTTCTCTCACTATTAGTATCTTCAACGTTTCCTTCACTTCTTTTCACCAACACTTAAACATACCTAAAACTAGAAAAAATCAATAAAAATTTTTAAAAAATAAATAAACATACCTAAAACTTTTCTATCTTTAACATATTTAAAAAGCCAGGAAACAAAAATAACTCCCTGGTCCTATACCCCAGAGCCCTAACTCCTTCCTCGTCAGAGTCACACTTCTGGAAAGAGTTGGCTTCGCTTGCTGCCTCCATCTCCTTCCTTCGGCTCAGTGCTCAGTCCACTGCCATCTCCCTCTCCTCCCCCGCTCACCAGGAAACAGTGCTTGCCAGGTCCCCAGCAGTCCAACAGACACTCCTGGGACCTGACATGTTGGTAGCACTGGAATAATAATTCCTCCCTCTGACTTGAAACACTCTTTCATCATGGGTCCAGGGTACACACATTCCCAACCTCTCTCCCACCTCTCTGGCTACCCCGTGGTCCTCCTAGGTGTCACCACGATCCACCCACTTGCTTGAGCCATCCATGGATGACCTTGGAGTCATTCTCACTGCTTTTCATTCTCTCACTGCTCACATCCTTCAGCAGGTCCTGCCTTCAGTATCAGTTGAGAATGCCACCCTTTGTTGGTCCTCCTCTGCCAGCACCCTGGTCTCAGCCACCCACCTCCCCCGCTGGCGCCTGGGACACTAGCAGCCTTCACTCTAGGTATCCCTCCTCCCCCTCCCCCCACCTCCCCACTCCGCTACCCTCCACAGCCTCTCCAACCCCTTCATTTCCCCCCACCCCCGCAGCAGCCAGAGTGATCTTGGACGTGTAAATGACATCATGTAAGCCTCCCTGCTCGGTCCTCCAAAGTCATCCCTTGATCATCCTTAGGCCTCAGGTTACATATTACTTCCCCCTAAACCCTCCCTGGGCCCCACACCTTGCCGGGAGTCCCTCCCCATTTGTTCCAGGAACACCTGTGTATTCCTTCGCAGAGCACGTATTCCACTGGTCATGACCCCTCCGTGTCCCCCACAGCTGTGTGAGTTCAGCAAGGTCAGGGACTGTGTCTGTGTGCTGAATTCATCCCGAATGCATGGCACCTAGTAAATATTCCACAAAAACTGAGCGTATTTGTTTCTCCCCCATTCCTAGACATGATTTAACAGCTCAGGAAACAAAACCAAAAGAAGGAAAGCGAGGTAAAATTCTGAAACTCGTACTGACTGTTGAAAGAGGTCTCAAAGTTGGCAGCAAACACTCTATAAGGGTCACAGTTTGCCAGCCATTTTATTCTCTTTTAAAATGTCGGCCTGCGGCAGAAATGAAACTCTCTTTGTGTGCGCGTGTGCCCGAGGTCTGGTGACCCCGAGCTGCTGCTTTCAGCTGTGGTCTGGGTGAGTGGCAGGCAGTGCCCTGAACACAGGGACCGCTGTGCCCAAGTGGAAGGAGGCCTGACGGCCAGGGCGCCGATGGCCAGCCCCAAAGGGCCGATTCGCCTTCGCTGCGGGCCGGGGACGAAGCTCGTGAAGCTTGAGGTCGTCGGGCCCCGGGCCGCTGTTTACAGCTGACGGCAGAAAACAAGGGCCGGGAGGAGTCTTCTGGGAAACGAAAGCGAAAGAGGCGAAGTTAACCTCGCGAGCTGGCCGCACCCGGCAGTCCCGGAGCAGCGGAGCCGAGGATGGCCGCCGCCGGCTGCTTCCCGCTGCTGGTCGAGGGGTCGTGGGGCCCCGACCCCCCGAAGAACTTGAGCACCAAGTTGCAGATGTACTTTCAGAGCCCGAAGCGGTCGGGAGGAGGGGAGTGCGAGGTCCACCAGGAGCCCGGGAGCCCTCCGCGCTTCCTGGTGCTCTTCTTCCCGGACGACGGTGAGGGGCGCGAGGGGCCGAGGGCGAGGGGGGCGGCCGGGGTCGGGGGGTACGGGCGGCGCGGACTCGGGTGCACCCGGGGCGCCGCGCTCCCCCGGCGCGACCTGGAGGTGGCGGCCGAAGCGCGCGAGTGAGCCTCCATCTCCCTCTTGATTTCCTGCCGTACCGTTACTTATTGGATGATTGATTCATTGAGAAGGAAAGGGGTTAAGAAACGTGAGGAGTCTCGGGGATCCTCACGGGTCACGGAGATCCCCAGGGGTCTTGAGGTCACTTGGGAGAGGGGCAGGGACACTGCCTGAAATCAGCCCGTCTGGGTGGAATTACAGAGCGCGCTGCTCCGCCCGCGGGTCGGAGGGGGAAGGCAGCGCGACGCCCTGTTCCTTTGTCGAGGGCCTGCTGGTGCCTCTTCCCTCAGCCTCAAGGTGGCCCTCAGATGGGGAGCGGGGATGACATTGTGAGGTATTGTGTGTTGGGAGTGTTGAGCTCTGGGTGGAAAGTTGAGGGCCCTAGTTGTCCGCACCGCCCCACTGCTGTTCCTGTTGGGGAAGGGAGGCCGGGAGCCCACCAGTTAGCTGCCTGCTCACGGCACCCACCGGGTCGCACACGGCACCCACCGGGTCTGTCGCGGCACTCCCAGAACCCGCACCTTTTCCATTGGGATCTTATAGACGGGAGGTGGTCTGGCAGGGTGTAGACAGTCCCTGATCCTGCCTTTCTGTCGCTAGATTTGGGGAAGCGTTGGGGCCAGAGGAGAGGCAAGGAGGCTTAGGAGCCCATGCAGTAGAAGCATATGGAATGCCCCACCAGGGATCCAGAAAGGAGAAATGAGAGAAACGAGGAGAAGGGCGTCCAGATAAGTTTGAAGGAAGTGGGGAAGGGAGGGACAGGAGACCTGCTTTGCTCAGAGCCCTTGTGGAAACTAAGTACCTTTTCCAAGGATTAGTTTTACCAAGGAGTGCTCAGAAGGGCAGCTGTGTAATGGATGTCATTTTCCCTCTGGGTTTCACTTTTCCTCCAGGGTTTTTCCCACTTTGATTCCAGCTGTCAACATCACCTTGGATCTAGCCCTTCTTTCTTCTTTAGAATCCCATTATCCTCAGGAGTAGGTCTCAAATTGGGGGCACAGACCTTCTGCATCCAGATGGGACTGCACGTTTACCAGGAACAGTCCCAGCTCTGTGCTAGAGACTGAGGCACAGTGAGTGTGGGGTGGGTGGGAATCAGCTCCTTTAACCAGCACCCCAGGTGACCCTGAGTCCTTGCAGTTTGAGAATCTCTGTAGCTTGTTGACAACCGCAAATGAACAAAAAGGGAAATAATTATACAAATACAAACAGCGTAAAAACACAAATAGCACAAAATATAATTTTGTGATGATAAAATAATTCAATTTTAGCCCTGAAAGCACACAGAATTTCAGTCTCACTGCTTGGTTCTCTTCCTTCACAGCTCCCAGCCCACTACGCCTTTTCCTCCAGCCCCAGGCTGCTGCAATGGCCCCTCTTGTCTCACCCTCTAACATGGATGACTCAGAACTTAATAAAACTCTAAAGCTTTTGTGAGCAAAGTTCTTAGGGCATGGAATACCCTTATTCGGTTTCAGTTTCCCAGTTGAGGGTCCACTTTCTCAGTAGAAGGTCAGTCAGGAATTTGCAAACAATGAATGACTTTGCAGTCCTAGGAAATGCATTCTTCTTCTGCAGAGGAAACCCTCCCACACTTTATTCCAGGAAATGGCTTAAACAGGTGCAGGCCTGAAGTGTAACATGACTTTATTTATATAGATCTGTAATAGCCAAATAATAAAAATGAACCCACCAGCACGTCTTTGTAAAAATAAGTGTATAGCAAATAAGAATAGGAAGCTCTCTATGACTTTGATATATAGTTCACTGGATTTCTGAAAAGTTGAGTGTAAACTCAAATGACGTTTTAAACCCTATTTTAGAGGTGTACATTTTTTTTTTTTTTTTTTTTTTGGTCTTTTTCCGTGTCCGGCAACGGATTGCAACCCTCAGTGTTGCCCCCGTACCGGACCGAGGCCCAGCAACGGGATCGCAACCCTCGGTGTTGCCCCCGCGCCTCGCTCAGCCAGTGAGCGGGAACCGGTCTGTATGTGGGATCCGACCCCTCGGCGGGAGCGCCTCTGCGCTTCCCAAGCGGCGCACTAGCGCAGTGCGCCACCGGGCCGGCCCCTAGAGGTGTACATTTTTTTTTTTTTTTGGTCTTTTTCCGTGTCCGGCAACGGATTGCAACCCTCAGTGTTGCCCCCGTACCGGACCGAGGACCAGCAACGGGATTGCAACCCTCGGTGTTGCCCCCGCGCCTCGCTCAGCCAGTGAGCGGGAACCGGTCTGTATGTGGGATCCGAACCCTCGGCGGGAGCGCCTCTGCGCTTCCCAAGCGGCGCACTAGCGCAGTGCGCCACCGGGCCGGCCCCTAGAGGTGTACATTTTATCATACTTTCTGGTCATAATTTGGCTCCTGATTATTGTCAGACTCTTTGGGGTAAGGGAACCCATTTTCTCCTTAAATAAAATCAAATGTTGATAATCTGAGGTTGAGGCCGGCCCGTGGCTCACTCGGTAGAGTGCGGTGCTGATAATCTGAGGTTGGTGTCCACATGGGTAAGGGAGGCTGGACATCAGAATTTCAGCATTTTTTCCTCCCAGATTTGCCTTCTCCTTGTTGAGGATCACATACTGATAATACTGCCATCTGCTCTGCTGAAATACTTGTGCTCATACATATTGCACACAATCTGAGAACAGGCTGGCACGTATAGATGCCTTGGCAGGACTTTATCAAAATCTAGGGAATAATAAAAGGAATGCAACTCAGAGGTCCATGACTCTAGATAATGTGGCCTACAAAACTCAGCTTGCTTTTGGGCTTCAGGGGTCCTATCCAGTCTGCAGTCCCCACTCTAGCATAGTAAAGCTCCTCAGATGTCCGTGCAAAAACATGTGCCCTCTTCATAAAGAGGACTTAGAGTGAAATTAGAGTCTGGCATTCCTTTTCAGGTTGTTTCGGAGGCCTGTTTCTGAATTGGCATCCAGTTAAAGCCCTGCCCCCTTGGGCTTGGATGGTTGAGGCAGGAAAGCTATCATGCCCCTCTTTGTGGAATATTCTGACTTATATCCTTGGCCTCATCAGGCCAACCATATCTGAACACAACACGCTAACCCAACATTCATGCCAGAGCTACCCCCGCGAACAGGAGGGCACTCTCAAAGATTCCCTTTCTCCCTGAGCTCTTTGCACCATCTGACGATGTTGACAACACCGCCTCCTTTCAATTCACTCACTCCCTGTCTCCATGGTCTGAGATACACTGATTTCCTTTTTATCTCTCTGGCTGCTCCGTCATATAACTTCCATTCGCGTAGCTCTGCAAGTGTGACATAGTGTGTCCACAGACACCACTCTAAGTGAGGAAACTAAAACTTGAGAGAAGTTAAGGTAAGTTCCTCATAGTCACTCAGCTAGTTTGTGGCAAAGTTGGAATTCAAATCCAGGTCTTTGGACTCATGTCCACTGTCAGTTTTTTCACTACAGCCCAGCTGCCTGATGTGCTGATTCTTTGTTTTGAACAATCTTTCTTATCCCCTCCTTCCAACTCCCTTTACTGTCAGATGTGAGCCTCTTATTACAGGCTAAGGAATTGATTGAAAGGACTTTCTAACTAGGCTCCCAGTCTTTCTGCTCATGGCCACCTGAATCACCCTCCTAAAACATGGCTTTCATCGTGTCACGTCCCAGCACCCAGTCTTCACTGGCTCTGCAGGAAGGAGGCTTTAATGAGTTCCTTTTAGTGTAGAATAAATATTACTACCTTTTTGAGTACCTACGGAGTGTCCGGTACTGTACTAAGTTCTTTATAATGTTTCTTCAGTTTACTCCAATTTTACTTTCAATTTAAAGTTTATTTCAGTTTACTTGTAACATTTGTACAAAACAATCTTCATTAACCTTTTTAATAGACAAGAAGACCGAGGCTTGGTAAGGCTTATTAAGGAGAATGCTCAATATGAAAAAATAAGTTTAAAGGTAGAATTCAAATCCATGTCTTCTTGCTAAACTTTTCCTTTTTTCACTACACGTAGCTTCTCTTGAGAAACTGACCAAGCCATTCATTGATGATGACGAAGCCTATAGAAATCATGGAATAATTTTGTAAATAAAGATTGCTTATCATTTGGCATCTTTTTTGTTTTTTTTTGGCATTTCAGTTCGGCAGAAGGTTCTAGAGAGAAAGAATCACGAGTTAGTATGGCCAGGAAAAGGGACATTCAAGTTAACTGTCCGGTTGCCTGTAACCACAGATGAAGTCCATGATGACTTTGAGGGGAAAATCCCTAGAAAGGTGAGTAAACTTGAGGAGTGATTAAAAGAGGAGTAGGGTGTTCTCCCAAGGTTGATGGGACGGGAATCACAGTGAGGAAAATGTGGGGGAACGAGAAGAATAAGTCAAACTGGGGTGAGAGAAGCAGCTTACAATGCAGAGGGAGTGAGGGCGGTGACAGGCGGTATGGAATAATGAAGGAGGGGCATTTTTCTGTGATGTCAGACACTTTTGGAAAAGTCAAGATTTGACAGTTACAGTAATGGTGGTTTGGGATGTAAAATTTTGTGTCTGTTTGTCCTGGGTTCTTTATAACCTACAACTCGCTATGTTTGTTTTATTATTACATCAATTTGAGGAGACAGTGGTACATACTACATGTGCTAAGTATTTCCTCAATTGTAGAATGGAATAGTAAAAATATCTGCCTCATTAGATTGTTGGATCACTGTGAGGATTAAATGAGATGACTTCTGTAAAGGACATGACACAATAAACAATAAATGTTAAATGGAGAAAAAAAATCATGAGGTCAGCCGTTTCTCTGATTTAGGTCTTACCTGATACCCATACACTTGGGGTTAACTAGGGCTTCTGTTTTTTGTGTCTCATTTCCACTGGTGATTTTTGTGACTAGAAAGTAAAAATGCCACTACATGTGGCCCCAGATGCATCAAGAGCACCATTGCCAGAGCTTTTCATTATTATTTCTATTCACCCTACATCTCCACACTGGTCCCTGGGACATTTTCTTTAATGTAAAGAAATTATTAGTAATGTATTAATGCTACTTTACTGTTTGGATTTCAGGAATCCAAGACCAAAGGAGATGTCAAAGAACCAGGTAAAGTCTCAGATGACATGACTCTGACAGTCACCAAGTAGTTTTGCTTTAATGAAAGATGGCACTTGAGGGGGTCACCCCTCTCTTCTTGACTCGCACAGCTCAGAGTTTGCTCAGCTTGGAGTTGCCTTGGGCTGCATCATCATGCTTGAGTCAGCTGTGCAGAGGGCAAACACTGGGGAGCCCCTCGAGCTCTTAGAGCTCAGGTCAGAAGGATGGGAACAGCCCTTTCTGGGGACTGTAATACACCATGCAATTGAGGGGAAGGCAAAGAAGTGTCTGGGAGGTGGTGGTGACAGTTCACCTTTAGAACCTACTTGTGTCCAGCCAGCCATGGAGAAGCAAGGACATGACCTGTCTGTGGGTGTCATGTGTGGCTAAATCGGTTAGCACTGCTTTCGAGCACTGGGTGTGCAGGGGGCAGTGCTCTGGAACCACAATAAGGAAGGGTTACTCCTCTGTGGGGCGTTGTGCAGGATTGGGTGCAGTCCTCTAGAAGGTTCCTGTCTCATCTGCTGCAGGAAAGAGCCAGCAGCCAAGGAGCCAAAGAGTTGTAGACTCTGCTGCTTAACTAGTGTTTGAGCATTGGCCTGTCATGCACCTGACATTGACTTAAGAAGCAACTAGTTTTCATAGCTAAGCATGTTGTTATAAAGAGGAGGAAGTGAACTATGCAAGTGAGCTGAGCAAGAGAGATAGTGATACACGAGCCCAAATCTTAGGAAAAGGAATTCCAAGAAATGTATGAATATTGTCCTCTAAAATTGAAATTGTCTTGAGAACGTGTCATTTTCTGCTTTCTCTTTTTGAAAATAGCACTAGAATGAGAGCTGCCTTTACTTGGCAAAATGGCTGGATAGGGACATTTGGATGGTTTTTACCTAATATGGGTGTACTATTAAAATTTAGAATCTAGTATGCATGATTTTCTTAAGAAACTCAAGATTCTTATGAAGCAGGAATTTTTTGACTCCTTAGAGTAATTCCTGCTTTCCTTTCTTCAGATTTGTCACCGGCTCACCCGCCTCCCAGTGTTTGTTGTCGTGATCCCCTGAATCCTTATCTTTTTCTTGGAAGATGCCTTAAGTGCTGTACTCTCAAGCTCAATTTTAGACCAGGAAGTCATTTTGTATTTGTATATTTAAACTTGTACTATATTCCTGGATCTAAAATTTAATCAAGTCTGATGAAATTTCTTATGGTTTTATAGATTTTACCTTAACTCTGTCTTCACTGACTTATTAGTGCTGTTTCAAGTTTGCTTAAAACCCCAAGTGTATTCTCAGGGAGAGCCATCCAGCCCCTCTCCACCAATGGACTTTTCATTGTCCTGGAGATTTTAGACCATTTTCTAACCTGTTTTTATCTGACCTAGACTTCAAGGATAGCAACCAGCTAGGAAGTTGGATGACCTTAAACATATTTAAGTTGGCTCCTTTAAAAGATGGAAGAGGGGGTCCTTCGCTGAATGGTTACCCCACACTGAATTTTGACAGTGGCCCTAAGGTTAGGACTCTTCAAATTAATTGGAATGGGGTAGACAATTTCTGAATTAAGCAAGATGTGGGTGGAGAGTAGTTACCTAATAGGGCCTATAATTCAGGATGGGGAGAGCAGAGGATGCTGCACTATGGATGTGCTACTAGGCATGTCAGAGACTCAGTGTGCCAAGTTAAGAACAGAGAAGTCTGCAGGCATTGCCAGAGCAGGGAAAGGCACACGCCAACATCGGGGATGTGAGCACCGAGCCCGTGTCCTGTTCTAAGCTTAGTTGCACCAGGTCTGAATGGTGGAAGCCAGTAACTGCAAGATCCTGGAGAAGAGAGAAGGGCAAGAGGAGAGAAATACTGCTGACCTGTGGTCAGCTAATTCTGGTAATTCCAAACCCGTATCCCTAGCTAGTCTCTTCTAAATTTCAGACCTTCTGTCTGACCTTCCTGTTGGAAGGTATGTTAGAGTCAGCATGTCTGACACCACCTGTGATATATTCCTCCCCAAACCAGTGCCCTTTCTGGCTTCATTATTTCTCTCAAAGTGCACAGTCTGCCCATAACCTGCTAGAAGTTTCAGGCATCTCTCCTCTTTCAGCTTTCACATCTTTTGGTCACAGAGACCTACTCATCTTTTTTTTAAGTCTTCCTCATCCATCCTTCTCTCACTGCAGGCCCCCTCATTACCTCACAAATCCACTGTGATGGGAGCTCCCTGCTTGTTCTCTGTTATAAATCTGCCCAGTCCTTTGCTCTGCTGCTAAATATCTGCCATCTTTTTCACAGAAATCTTCCATGATGCACCCTTACCACCAACTGCAAGATAATGTCCAGACCGCATTCTGGATCTAGTCTACTTTTCCAGCCTCGTTTCTTACGTCTCTGCACAAAAGTGCTCCTTTTGAGCCACATTGGTCAAATCACCGTTTTCTAAATAGTTCGGTGCCATCACGTTACTCTGCCATGCTTCTGGTGCTCACAATATCCTCTGTCCCACTTTTCTCTACCGAGTTCATACCCCTTCAAGACCTGCTCAACTTCCTCCTCTTCTCTGAAGCCTTTCCATGCCAGCCCAGACCTTTTATCTCTTTCTTAGGCTCCAGACCTGACTGTAGATGCTCTTTATTTGTCAATTAACCAAGTCTCTCTTGTGATGAAGCTTCTAAAAGTTGTGGGGTTATAAACTATATTGCCAGAAAGACTCTTACCAGTCAGTTAATTTGCCCAATACCCTTATTTCACAATTAAGAGACTTGCCCAAGATCACATGGCTAGAAAGTGGCAGTCAGGGCCTGGACACATATAGCCTCATTCCTAGCCCAGTAGTCATTCTGGTTTGTTATACCTGTCACATTTAATGCTGATTTATGTTGTTGTTTAATCCTTCAGCTATCGTGTTTAGTATGCCTGTGTGTGCATGGTGTCATATCTAGCACATGACAGTGTGATCTAACTGTTGTAACAAACAACTTCCCAAATCAGTAACCTAACACAATACAAGTTTATTTCTCCTCCACATCACAGTTCAGTGTAGTCAGCAGCTGGGGTGGTAGGGAGAGTGTAGACTGCTCTTCACAGTCATTCAGGGACCTAGGCTCCTTCTGTCTTTTGACACCATTGTCTTAATATGTGGCCTGCAAGGTCACTGCAAGGGAGAATGGAGATTCATATAAAGGGTATTTGTATGGGCTAGGCCTCGAGGTGGAATTCACCACTTCCGTCCATATTCCATAAGCCACATGAACTCTATTACAGGAATTGAACTGTAGGAATTTGAAATGTTGCCCAGAAAGAAAACAAAATGGATTTGGTGAACACATAGCATTTTATTCTGCCACAATAAACACTTAGAAATGTCAGTTCCCTTTCTCATTTTTTGTGTATATTTCCATTAGAAAATCTGTAGGTTCCTTTTCTAATCTTTTTTGTATTCACAACTCTCCATACTTCCAGTGTCTTGAACGTAATAAGGGCCCCCGTTGAACAGTTGTTCACGAAATGTCTAAAGATCTTATCACACACACCGTGCTTCAGTGGGCATATGTGGAGTGAGACTGACCTTGTGCATGTATGTAACTCACTTAGGGTCAGCAATGGAGAGCAACGAGTCAGCTAGGATGACTGCCCTTCAGTGAGCCTGATATACACATATAGCTCTCTAGGCCATTTTACCTTCCTGTGTATAATTTAGTCATTTGTTGCAAGTATCCTTTTCTTTCTCCAGTGATGGAAACTTACTACTTTCCAGAGTGCGACATGTTAGATGATACCCACACTTGGGCATCATCAGATATTCTTGCTTTCCTCCAGTGACCCAAGCAGTAAATCTCCATTCAGCAAACATATACTGTGCCTCAACTATATACCATGTGCCAGCAACAGAAGGATGAATAAATACGTGCCTACTTTTGAGAAGCTTAGTTCAGTAATTATATGATTCTGTGATAGAATTATAAGTCAAGTGCTGTGAAGGATAAAGCGGGTTCCTCAGAGAGACAAGGCAGAAAAGGGTGTAATAAAATTGAACTTAAAATAGTAATAATAAAAACAGTTAAATGCTACATTTTATTTTTAATTAAATAAAGCAAAAAGTCATCCAAGATATGTTTTTATTTGAGTTAGCCAAGAGACGGGGGGGAAGAAAGAGCAGTATCATACTAATTTACTTTGCTAAGACCATGGTAGATAAAGATAACATCTTGTATCTCTTTTGCCTTTCTAAAATCAGATGTGTCAGAAGAACTAGATACAGAGATTGATGTCAACACAATATTGGAAAAAACAGAGGATATCCCAGAAGAATGTGAAAATATTTCCTCCATGGTGGCATTTGAAAGTCTCAAGGAAAATGTGACTGACATGATGTTAATCTTGTTAGTGGAGAACATAAGTGGCCTGTCCAGTGATGACTTTCAAGTGGAAATAATACGAGATTTTGAGGTCGCTGTAGTTACCTTTCAAAAACATACAGGTAGGATCTAGTGACACTTCATTTGCCAGACTTCTTGGCACTACATCTTGGGATTTGGGACAGCCAGTTAATGGAACATCTCTGAAAGTTTGACTCTTTCTAGTAGCTAGTAAGACAGGACTCCAGGTTAATACAGATGCTTTTTAATTCTTTAAGAGAAGCAAATTAGTTTTAAAACCAAATTCTGGTATGTTTAATAGATTGGACTTTATTGCTTGAGTTTGTGTGTGTGTATGTGACAGAGAAATAACACACTCAAATAAAAATCTAAAGTCTACGGTTGTTAAAGTGATTCCGAGTAAAGGAGCCAGTATTTTCACATATTATCTCATTGGGAGAAGTAAATATTAACCTGTGTTCTCAAACTGGACTTACTGGAAGGTAAAACAAAGTAATAGCAGACACTCATATGGTGCTTACTATGAGTCAGGTACTGTGCCTAGCTCTTTACATATATTATTTTATTTGTCCTTTCAAATGATATTAAATGCTTAGGAGATTATTATTATTATTATTCTCCCATGCTACCACTGGGGAGACAGAGGCACACAGGACAAAGTGGATTTAAGCCCAGGTGGCCTACTCTGCAGCCTGCTTTTTTATCCACTCGCCCATAGATTCCCTCAGTACTTTCACAGTCATTCACATTTTCAGGCATGAGTAAGTGCATGTGCTGCAGAAAATGCGTGCTCTTTAAGATCATTGTTAGGAGTCTGTGGACTGTCTTGTAGATTGGGAATAGCCATCTCCACCTAAAACAAGGAAATCTTCCGATTTCAAGACCTCACTATTCCATGACCATGGTAGTGGAATGGTTAATTAAGAGCATAGGTCATGGAGTCAGAATTCTAGCTCTGCCATTTAACTAGTTATATGGGGTTGGCCAAGTTACTGTCCTCTGTGCCTCACTTTCCTCATCTGTAAAATGGGAATAATAATACCTACCTAATATAGTTTCTGCAAAGATTAAATGAGATAATATTTGAATAGTACCTGAGACGTGGTAAGGACTCAATAAAGGAGCTATTCTATTTATTTCAGATTTATTATTCAGATTTATTATTATTTCTTTTCTTTTTTTTTTTTTTTTCCTTTTTGTCTTTTTTCGTGACCGGCAACGGATTGTATTTATTTCAGATTTATTATTCAGATTTATTATTATTTCTTTTCTTTTTTTTTTTTTTTCCTTTTTGTCTTTTTTCGTGACCGGCAACGGATTGCAACCCTCAGTGTCGCGCCCGTACCGGACCGGGACCGGCAACGGGATCGCAACCCTCGGTGTTGCTCCCGCACCTCGCTCAGCCAGTGAGCAGCTGGTCTGTATGTGGGATCCGAACCCTCGGCGGGAGCGCCGCTGCACTCCCAAGCGGCGCACTGTAGCAGTGCGCCACCGGGCCGGCCTATTATTATTTCTTATAAAGGAAAAACTAAATGGACTTGCTTTTGTTCATTGATCAAAAATCTTGAACACCTACTATGTGCCAGGCACTGGTCTAGGTGTTGTGGGTGCAAAGATAACTAAGTCATGGTTCCTGCTCTTGAGGAATTCATGGTCTGGGGGTGGAGAGGATGCCAATATGTAAATGAATAATGGAGGTGCAAGAGGAGAAGCTTTTCTCTCAGCTGTGAACAACAGGCTGTGGAAAATGGAACGAAAGGGGACCGAAACTAGGTGGCTTAGTCTTATTCCTGTGATGTTTATACAGTACCAGTCGATCATGTCCAAGATACACTGTGCTGTTTCAAGTCACTGCTCTTCCCTCTGCCTCACGTAGCTCTTTCCCTCGTCCATCTGGTAAACCCCTCTTCAGCCTTCAAAACCTCGATCAGAGACCACTTTGGGAATCCTTGTTTGATCCCTGGCATTAGTCCACCTCATTTGATCCTATAAGAGGCAATTTATTTGCTTTCAAGAATTCCTCCCTCCTGGATGATGAACTGGCAAAGACTTGCATATTCATCTCTGTATCCCCAGATCCTAGCAGAGTACCTGGCACATCGTGGGCCCACCATCAATATTTAATTATTTGAAAGAGACAGTTGGAATAAGTCGTGAAGGATGAATAGGATCAGAATTAAAAATTGGAGAAGGGTATTCCACATATAGGAAATTGTTTATGCAAAAGCAAAAGAGAAAGGGTTTTCAAAATAATGACTAGTTTTTGTGGCAACATGGAAAAGAAAATAATAGCAGAGAATAACCAAAGGTGATGCTTGGAAGTTAGTTTGGAGTCAGATAGTCAAGGACATTGTAAGGCTGGCTAAGGAGTATGAACTTACTCCTGCAGGTAATGGGGAACCATTGAAGTGGGGGGATTTGTATTACAGAGAAAGCACTCAGGAGAGTTGGAGAGGGCTGTGACAGTATGGGGACTCATCTCAATGGCAGTAATCCAGGTAAGACGTTCATTTGTGCATCGTTGTTCAGAGACCAGGAGTCTTAGGCATGTAAACTCTCATGTAGGTATTAAAATTTTGTTTCTAGTTAGATAGGAGGGTTAAGTTCTAGTGTTCTATAGTAGTGCTAGATGATAATTAACAATAATTTGTTTTATATTTTCAAATGGCTAGAAGAATGGAGTTCTAATGTTTTCAACACAAAAAAAAGATAAATGTTTGTGGTGATGCTATGCTAATTATCCTGATCTGATTATTACACATTGTATACATGTATTGAAATATCACTCTATACCCCAAAAATATGTACAATTATTACATGTCAATTAAAAAAAAATCTTCTGTCTAAAATAGGGCTGGCCATTGGTTAGAGAGTCAACCTTCTGATACCAAGGTCATGGTTTGGATCCCTGTACCTGCCAGCTGCCGAAAATTAATAAATAAGTAAATAAAATAAAAATACAGTGCTTAGCTCTCTCCTTTGTTTTGATTAATAGCTGGACAGTTCATTCTATATAATATAAAGATACAATCATAATTTTTTTTTTTTGGTTTGTAGATACCATAAAATTTGTTGATGATTGTACCAGGCATCGTTCAATTAAACAACTTCAGCTTTCCCCAAGACTTCTGGAAGTGACAACAACAATCAGGGTTGAAAATCTGCCACCTGGCGTAGATGACAACAACTTAAAACTTTTCTTTGAAAATCCTTTTAATGGAGGGGGAAGAGTTGCCAGTACTAAATGTTTTCCTGAAGAGAGTTCAGCTCTGATTGAATTTTGTGACAGAAAAGGTAATATCTTTTAGGACATTATACCTGGAATAATCTAGGCCATCTTAACGCCATCTTAACAGTTATCAGCTAAATGTATTTATTCGTACATTTTATTGGAAAGTAAATTAGTAATCCTGTTCATCTGAGATATGATGCTTAATGAGGCCAGCAATTCAAAATTTTGAGAAGCAAGGTCAAGTTTTTGAGAGATATAAGGAGATTTTCTCATGAGTCTTTACCTATGATGAACTGAAAAATATGTCATTCTTGGAACCTTTCAAATACTGTATTAAAAAAGAGATGATCTGTGTTTTAGCAATATACTGGTAGAAATTCTCAAATTAATTTCAACAAGGTTAGGTAAAGAAATACCTAGAAACACATACAGTTCCTATGAAGTGTCACTACCTCCCCTTTCACCCGTCAATGTCATTATTCAGAAATTAATAGGATGGTTTCACATGATCAGTGGATGCCCGATGGGTCATTGTTTGGAGGACCCTGTGAAAACCATGTCCAGCTAAGCCTTAGAGAAAAACTCCTGGAGATTTGGTAGACATAGACTGCCTGTTCTCTGGGGCATGTGCAGTCAGCTTGGAGATACCACTCATGTTCAGAGATGAAAACTGAGCAGTAAGAATTAGGGGGTCAGACTTCTTAGGAAAAGAAGGAACATTGCGTCTGGAAATAATTGGGGTGGGGCATGACACAGGATCATGTGGTATGCCACCCACTTAAGATAGGTTGTTTCAATAGGGTACTTGAAGGAAAGAACCTCCCTTTTCCCAACTCAGCTTTTATGAGTTTGGAAAACTGGGGTAAAAGTACAGATTGGATTAAAATTAAATGAGAGACTTAGTGTTCCTTGGGCAAAGAGACAAAAGAGGAGCTTCTGTCACCTATTCCAATCTCCCTCAGCTTGGTCATGGGCCCAGGGAGAGAGGTACATAAAGTTTTCTACCCTAGGGCCGGCCCGGTGGCGCACTGGAGAGTGCGCCGCTTGGGAGCGCGGCGGCGCTCCCGCCGAGGGTTCGGATCCCATGTGGAGACCGGTTCCCGCTCACTGGCTGAGCGCGGTGCGGGCACAACACCGAGGGTTGCGATCCCGTTGCCAGATCCTGTTGCCGGTCCCCGGTACGGGCGCGACACCGTGGGTTGCGATCCCGTTACCGGTCAGTAAAAAAGACAAAAAGGGAAAAAAAAAAAAAAAAGTTGTCTACCCTAGAAATTAACCTCCCAGTTTATGGTAGGAGTTGAAATTCAAGGCTTTCAAATGCCTTGAGGGCATGGGGCTGTTGGGTGTGTCCTCAAAATGTCTACGCTGCATCTATACAACTAGCAATAAGTACTATTTAGTTAAGGTTTATTATCTGCCAGAGCTATCCATGTGAACTCTGTGGGTACTCTCAAAGGTTCCTTTTCTCCCTGAGCTCTTTGCACCACCTGACCATGTTAACCATGCCCCCACCTCTAAACTCACTCATTCCTTTTTCTCCACAATCTCAGGTACACTGGTTTTCCTTTTCTCTCTCTGGCTTCTCCTTTTTATAACTTACATTTGTATAGCTCTTCAGGGTATTACAAAGTGCTTTCACAGACACTGCTTTATGGGCATCTTGATTATTATATCTGTTTTACAAATGAGGAAACTGAGGCACAGAAAGGTCAAATAACTTGCCCAAGATTACACAGCTAGTAACTGGCAGAGCCTGGATTTGAACCTGGGTAGTCTGGCCCCATAATTTATACTCTTAACTTCTCTACTTCTCCTAAATCTTTTGTTCGCCTGTAACATTAATTTTCTTGTAGGATATTTCACCATATACAATGGGTTACCAATAATGAGGCAAACTGTAGATAGAGTTTGATAAAAACAGAATTTATTTAGCAATGTTGTGTTTTATGTAGATTACTTGAGAGGAATAAATTAACCACTTTACTCTGAAATTATTTGGTTCAACCTCACAAAATCTGATTTATTTCTTAAGGAAGGGAACTCTTATTGAACACCTATTATACATGAGACCTTTTTCTGTGTGTTCTGCCACAGTGTCTTGCAATCCCCATAATAACCTGCATGATTAGGTATAGTTATTTTTTCTTTACAGATGAAGAAACAAGATGGAGATTTTATGGAATATTAAGGTGACATCTGTGATGGTTCTTGACCAAGATTGAATCCTGGCTTTGGTCTTGGGCAAGTTACTTTAACCCACCAAAGCCTCTGTTTTCTCATCTGTAAAATGGGGCTTCCATTACTACTTAGCTTCGAGAAGTGTTTTGAGGATTAAGTGGTTGACACATGGTTGTGTTCAGTACATGTTAGTGATCACTGGTACTGCCAGGCTCAGAGCCTCTACAGGACCACGTCTGGGAATTGAAATGATATGTTTGGGCCTCTGAAGGCCACATTCTTTCCATCATGCCTGATTCCAGCCCTAGGAACCAAGCACACAGAAGGTGAAGTTATTTTTAACATCTTTTTGTGAAGGATGTTATTTTAATTCAAGAGCATAAGCTTTGGGGTTAGACACTGAATCTGAGCTCAGATATTTACAGTCTGTGAAGCCCTGTTCAGGTTGTCTAACCTTTCCTAGCTTCAGTTTTATCATTTGTTAATAGGACTGATAATAATGGTGTTTCAACCTCAAATTGTTGGTATGAGAATTAAATGAATTAAATATATGTAAAGCACTTAGAATAGTGTCTGACACATGGTAAGCTATAATAGTTATTATTATGCTCCTCCTCTTAGAGGTATTAATGGAATCTAAGTCAACTAGGAAGCCTAAAAGTTTTGGACTGTAGCATGATACTTAGATGAGCTTCACTTTGAGTACCAGAATATTCTTTACAATGGGGCGAGCGTTGTCCTCACGCTTGTGACTAAATTTATATCTGTGTCTTAACGTGGTAGTGATATATCAGAAATATCAGAAAAACAGAAAATAGAATTTAATTAACAGAATTTCAACATAGAGTGATCTTGGCTACAAAGTAATTATTCCATTCAAAAAGGGATATCTGTGCACTGTTAATACATAGCAATCTATATTTGAGCACTTCGAGGGTAGTGCTGCTTTTTACTAATATGTTGTAACATCGAAGTTCTACATGCATTAGGATTTTTAAAAATATATAATAGGAAAGTTTTGTTTTCATTTGAAACATATCACACTGGGATTACTTTATTTTTATTTCTTTCCTTTTAAGTGTTAGATACCATCATGGCCAAGAAACTTGATTTCAATAAAATGCCGCTTTCTGTGTTCCCATACTATACCTCCTTGGGCACAGCCTTGTATGGAAAGGAGAAGCCTCTGATCAGGCTTCCAGCACCATTTGAAGAGTCACTGGATCTTCCCTTATGGAAGTTCTTACAGAAGAAGAACCACCTGATTGAGGAGATAAATGATGAAATGAGACATCAACACTGTGAGCTAACATGGTCCCCACTCAGTGGTAAAGTTATCATCAGACCTGCGGCCACCTTAGTCAATCAAGGAAGATCAAGAATCAAGGCCTGGCAGGAAGCTACTTCCACAGTACTCTCTGGCATCAGGTCTAAATATAAAGTTACCGCATTTAAAGTGAATCCGATAGTGTGGAACACCATAAAAGACGACTTAGGGGACGATAGGATTTTGATTGAGTTTGATCCACTTAAGGAGACCGTAACCTTAGCAGGAAAATCAGAGGATGTCCAAAACATTGAGCTACAAATCAAGGAATTAATAGAAATCACGACTCAAAAAATTAAAAGAGAAGAGCAAAGTCTGAAGGAAAAAGTGGCCATTTCTCCAGTGAAGTATTTTCTTTTGTGCCATAGCGGTGAACAGGAGCGTCTAAGCACAGAGTACCCAGAGTTGGAGATTTGTTATGATGCAGCCACTAGGTACATGTGCTTTAAAGGACTCCCTGCAGATGTGTATAAAGTAAAGTGTGAAATCCAGGAAAAGGTGTATGCCATGGTGCAGAAGAACATTCAGTTTTCTCCTGAGATTTTCCAGTTTCTGCAACAGGTAGACTGTAAAGAATTCTCTAAGTCTCTTTTTATAGCACAGGAAATTCTTGCAGTTTATGAACTAGAGGATCCAGCTGTTCTCTTAACTGGCTCTTCTTCTGAAGTCCTGTTAGAAGCTGAAAAGCAAATGCTCAGTGCCTTAACTTCTAAGCGCTTTGAAGTGGAGAACAAGGAAGTTCTTGATGGCAAGAAATGGAAAGAGCTCACTTGCAATTTGCATAAGAAACATAATTCCTCCTCAAACACTGCAGTAATCGATGAGTTAACTTCAGAAACCACAGCTGAAGTCGTCATTTCAGGCCTTGTGACAGAAGTAAATGAAATCTATCGCTTGCTTTTTGACTTTGTGGAAAAACACATGGAAATAGAGAGATTGATTGAAGTGAAGTCTTCCTTAGTTGTTGACTACTTAAGGGCAGAAAAGAAGCAATTATGGGGAAGGATAAAGAAGACAGGTATGCAGATAATTTTCAATCCCGAGAACAAACAAAACGGCATTTCACTGATTGGCCCAAAGACCGAAGTACTGGCAGTAATGAACACTGTCAAGCAACTCCGTGATTCAGTCTGCGTTAAAAACGTCTGCATTGATAAGCCAGGCACCAGGCAGTTCTTCCAGGACAAAGCACGCTATTATAAAGGCGAGGTCAGACGGCTGTTTGGTTGTTTCATTGAAATACAGGAGAATGAAGAAAAGGAGGGAGGCCGCACGGGTGGGCAGAAGTGCATCTGCAGGGCAGAGGTGGCCCCTGGAGTCATGCTGATTGTGCAGCAGGGCGACTTGTCACTGCTTCCTGTGGACGTGGTAGTGAATGCAGCAAATGAGGACCTCCAGCACTGTGGCGGCCTTGCTGCTGCGCTCCTGGGGGCAGCTGGCCCTGAGCTCCAAGCAGACTGTGACCGAATAGTGAAGACAGAGGGCAGGCTCCTACCTGGCACCGTCACCATCTCGAAAGCAGGAAAGCTCCCATGCCACCGTGTGATCCACGCAGTTGGGCCCCGGTGGGAGGAAGATGAGGTCCTGAGGTGTGTGCACCTGTTAAAGAGAGCTGTGCAACAAAGTCTCTGTTTAGCTGAAAAACACAAGTACCAATCCATAGCCATTCCAGCTATTAGTTCTGGAATCTTTGGCTTTCCCTTACCCCAGTGTGTGGAGACCATTGTTTTAACCATCAAAGAAAGTTTCCATAACCGGGATGGACACACCTTGAAAGAGATTTACCTCGTGGATACATCTCAGAAGACTGCGGAGGCCTTTGCTAAAGCTGTGAAAACTATATTTAAAAACACCCTGCCTGATACAGCTTCCCTGCCCCGTTCACCAGTGACAGTCCAGCCTGAGAAAATGTCACAGAAACAAACAATTCTGGTGTCCCCTGAAGGCCTGAGGATCCTGTTGGTGAGAGGAGGTGTGCAGGATGCGAAGGTGAGTGTCCTACTTACAGACCACCAAGGTGCTGGTGACTGCGCGGCCCTTTGCTCTCTCATTGAGGGCCAAAGGAAGATAAGGATCAAGGGGAAAATCAAGGGAGAGAATCCCATGCCCTCCATCCTTGCCTTGAGACAGGTGTCCTTAGATTATTGAGCTACTTACCAAATCATTTACTGATAGAGATTGGCCAAGTATTTGTGAGAACTGAAAGTGTATTGAGATCAGATCACTAGGTTTCCAGCAAATGTGGAAATCCATGATACCATATTTTTAGAGGCTCTCTATATTTTTTCAGTTCCTTTCCACCTGTCATATTGTGGTAAATCTAATTTCCTGCCAAATTTACTGATAGCAGATACAGAACAATTAGGGCATAGGGATGCAGAGGACAGAAATCTTGCCAGTGGAACTGAGTGAGAGTGAGCTGTGGGGCCAGAGTCTGGGGGACCTTCAGCACCCAGCACCAGTGAGGAAATGTGGGGAGGGAAGGTGGAAGGACCTGAGAAAGGGCCAGCTGTCAGGCATTATGTAGGGGCAATTCTTGTAGGCTGGCTGCGGGTAGGGGGATGAGGGGCTTAGGGAGTTAATATGTGTTATTTTTACTTAAAACAACAGAAATTTATTCTCACAGTTCTGGAAGTTAATATGTTTTTTTTTTTTTTTTTTTGTCTTTTTTATCTTTTTCCGTGTCCGGCAACGGATCGCAACCCTCAGTGTTGCCCCCGTACCGGACCGGGGACCGGCATCAGGATTGCAACCCTCGGCGTTGCTCCCGCGCCTCGCTCAGCCAGTGAGCGGGAACCGGTCTGCATGTGGGATCCGAACCCTCGGGTGGGAGCGCCACCGCGCTTCCCAAGCGGCACACTTATCCAGTGCGTCACCGGGCCGGCCCAGTTAATATGTTTTTAAAAAGATTTTTAACAGCCTTTTAACATAGGCTCTAACAATCAGAACAGCAGCCAAGTATAGCAGGGTCTGGAAGCCTACTGTGCCAGGCATTACTTCTTTAATTGGAGGATTATGGGGAGTCCTAGGGAAGGGATTCCTAGCAGTGCGTGGAGGCAGGTAGTGGGAGCATTGGGATCAGGGGCAGGGCAGCACTTATTTACCAACCAACAGAAACATCCTTCTGTATTGTAATAACTGGCATGGCCATAGTTGTGTCTTCCAGTGAATATTAGCCTCGGCCTTCCTCTACTGGCCTCAGAGGAGACATTCTCAGGCTGCCAAAGGGAGCCTGGGACACAGAGCTGGGTGAACGCCCTCCCTGCCCCCCAGGCCACTGCCAGGCTCTTTTTTGCCCCACTTTTTAAAAGGAAGATTTATTAGCTTGTTTTCTAAAAGAAAGCAAACATCAAATACAACACAAATTTTAATTAAGCCTGAATGTTTTATTTCAGAGATTAAGACCAAAGTCCTAAGTTATCAGCACTAGGTGTCACTTGTTCTCATTATCTTTAAACAAAACACAGTTGCATATGTGTACCGTGATATTAAATGAAATGAACTAGATTTAATAAACCTGCCAAATGTTTTGCTTTGAACTATTTTACAAGAAAAAGTATCTCAAAGCGTCCGTTCAGTGTTCGATGTAATGTGATGAAAGGTGACACAATTAAGAGCTACTTTAACCTGAATGTCCTTACTGTTTAGATACTGTGCGTATTTTAACAGTACGACTATCTTGAGAAAAGCTGAAAAGTGTTTAATTTCAGTCATGATCAATCATCTTCCTTTTTGTTTAAACAGCTTTATTGAGATATAATTCACATACCATACCCATTTAAAGTATACAATCCCATGGTTTTTAGTATATCCACAGAGGTATGCACTCATCACCACAATCTAATTTTAGAACATTTTCGTCCCTCTAAAAAGAAACCCTATGCAGTCTCTTCCCATTCCATTCACCCCCCCACCCCACCTCCCAGCTGTAGGCAACAACTAATCTACTTTCTGTTTGTATAGATTCATCTATTCTGGAAATTTCATATAAATGGAGTCATATAATTTGTGGTCTTCTATGACTGGCTTCTTTCACTTAACAGAATGTTTTCAAGGTTCATCCATGTTATAACATGTATCAGAACTTTATTCCTTTTTATGGCTGAATAATAATCCACTGTATGGATATACTGCATTTGTTTATCCATTCATCAGTCAGTGAACATTTAGATTGTTCACACTCTTTGACTTTTATGAGTAATTCTTATGAACATTTGTATCCAAGTTTTTGTATGTACATGCGTTTTCAGCTCTCAGGAGTGCATGACTTGGACTGGAATGGTTGGGTCATGTAGTGACTATGTATTGACCTCTATATATGAGGAACTGCTAGACTGTTTCCTAAAGCAGCTGTACCATTTTACATTCCTGTCAGCAATGTTGAGAGTTCCAGTTTCTCCACATCCTTGTCAACACTTGTTATTATCTGTCTTTTTGATTGTAGCCATCCTAGTAAGTGAAGTGGTATCTCACTGTGATTTTGATTTGCATTTTCCTAATGACTAATGATGTTGAATATCTTTTCATTTGTATGTCTTCTTTGGAAAAATGTCTGTTTAGATCCTTTACCCACTTTTCAATTGGATTATCTTTTTATTATTGAGTTTTAAGTATTCTTTATATATTTGGGGTACAGGTCCCTTATTAGATCCATGATTTGCAAAGATTTTCTCCTCGTCTATGAGCCATCTTCCTTTCTTGCTCCTGTTTTGTTTACTTTGTTTAAAATATTTTTTTGTTTTAGTTTAAAATACTGAAATGGAAGATTAAAAAATTGGATTTCTACTTACAGTAAGCTCAAGTAAAAGTGAGAAGAATTGTAGCTCACGTTGATTGTTTCTGAGTGCCAGGCACTGTGCTAAGTGCTTGACATGCATTCTCTCATTTAATGCCATGAGATAGACTCTAGGATGATGATTATTCTCATTTCACATATGAGAAAATGAGACTTAGAGGGGTTAAGTAATTTGTCTAAGTCCCCCAGCTAGCAAATGGCAGGATCAGGCTTGAAATTTGTTCAGGAAACAATTTGTTTCTCATTTGGAAAAAATGAATAAACAAAAAACTCCTTTGATCAGGAGTCAGTAGTGAGTGTGAGCACTGCCTTCGTTTCCCTTGGTACTGAATGTCGAGATGGTCTTTCCATCCTGTTCACTCCCGTGGATGTGTAGCTCCCACTGCCACAGTAACAGCTACGCATTGCTCCTCAGTGACCCATGCAGGGCAGCTTTGACGGTCACTTGGTCACGTACCCTCTTTTCTCTTGGCTTCTCTCATCTCACCTGATTAATCTGCTCACATTCACTCTCTGGTGAGAAAGCTTCCACTGCTGCTTGCCGTCTGTCGGGAAGTCCAGGTGGCTGGGCACTCGAGGTGGGCCTTCTGCATCTGCCCCAGTGTAACATTTCTAGGCTGGCTTGTGCCATTTTCTTGCAGAAGCTCTCAGATCAAACTAATCTGTTCACAGCTCAGAGCCTACCATGCTTATGTTCATGCTGTTTCCTGTCTCTTTCTGCTTACTCCAACTATTCCCATGTCTCAGACCCACACCGCCCGTGGTGTCCTCACTAGTTACTGAAGGGACTTCCTTCAGTGAGCCCATACCATTCATATATGATGGCTTTTTGACACTCTCTTTTGTCCTGGAGAGTCACTTAAATAAGTATTTAATAACACTTTGTCTTGGGGTGGTAGTTCAGTCTCTGAAATCTTAATCATCTTAGTTGTCCCCCATTGTGCCAAGCCCAGTAACTCAAATATAATAATTGTTGATGAATGATTTTGTTAGAATTTGAAACAAACTTTTGTTGTTGTTTTTAAGACTGATGTTGTTGTCAACTCCATTCCCTCGGATCTTGTGCTTAACAGAGGGCCTCTATCTAAGGCCCTCTTGGAAAAAGCTGGGCCAAAGCTCCAGGAGGAATTGAATACAGCTGGACAAGATGCACTTGTCACCGCAGGCACAATTTTCCAGACAAGTGGCTTCAATCTGCACTGCCACCGTGTGCTTCATGTGGTGGTTCCGGAATGGAGAAGTGACAGCACGTCTTCATGCATGGTAGGGCCTGGTTTTTAATTCTCCAGGAAATTGGGTAGCCCTGTGGACCTTCCTTTCAGTATTATACAGATTGGACCCTGTCTCTCTTCTGTAATAATGTCACATTTTTGGCAGTTTCCATCATTATGGCTATTTCTTTCAGCTGTAGCTGACTTCCCCCGAGGGCTAGTTAGTAATATAAATCGATTATTGTGCTCAGTAATTATTGGAGCTGAGGGAAGGGTTATTGAAGATAATATTTCTTTAGTGAGGAAAGCAAGGCAAGGGCATGAAGAATAGAAGAGAATGAAGGATAAGAACAGTAGTTGCTTTGCTTCCCTCATTGCTGAGTGAGTCTGACTCGTTGCGGAGGGTCTCTCACATTCTCTTTCCCCTTTGTCTTCTCCTGTCTCTTTCTTTCCTCCCCTGACTGCCCATAACCTACACTGAAAGCAAAAAGGAGTAGACAGATCACAGTCAGAGGTGCTAAATTCTTGTTCTTTTTGTTCTAACTCTCATTTCTAGGCAAGATGTATAAGGATGTGCTTTTGTGCTTTTCAGGTCATGGAAAACATAATCAGAAAGTGTTTGAAGATCACTGAGAGCCTGTCCTTGAAATCAATTGCATTTCCAGCAATAGGAACAGGAAATCTGGGATTTCCTAAAACCATATTTGCTGAATTAATCATTTCAGAAGTGTTCAAATTTAGTAGCGAGAATCAACTGCAAACTTTACAAGAGGTTCAGTTTCTGCTGCACCCGAGTGATTACGGAAATATTCAGGTATGGTCTCACTCATTTTGGATTATTTTGTCAACTGAGACCTAATGTTTTCAAGGGTCTTCTTGTCTAATAAGATGTTTCTTTCATGTATTTCCCATACAGGAAAGTAAAGTAGTAGTGTAGACTAACTGTAGCATGACAGATTTCAAGAAAACTTAGAGATATAGAAAAAATTAACTTTTTATTCAGGAAAGTTTCAAACATACTTGTATACAAAAGTAGACAAAATAGTATAATGAACTTCCTTATATCCCTCACTCCCCTTCAACAATTATCAACCTATGGCCAGTTGGTTTCATCTCTATCTCCATTTATTTCCTTTTCTCTCATTTCATTTTGAAGCAAATCCCAGACATATCATTTTATCCATAAATAATTAGGCATTTATTTTAAACAATAAGGATTCTTTTTTAAAAAGTAACATAACTACAATAGTATATCACACCTAAAAGAAATTGACAATAATTTATTTGATCAATTGTCGAGTCAATGTTGAAATTTCCAATTATCTCATAAATGTTTTATTGTGTTTTTACAGTTTTGTGTTTGAATCAGAATCCAAATAAGTCCTACATATTGCAATGGAGTTGACATATTCCTTAAGACTCTTTCAGTCGATCGGATTCCCTTCCATATAGCCATAGAAATTTTAATACCTATTATAAAAGCACAGCTGTGGCCCTATCAGTAGGAAAATGTCAGGATGGGATATAAGTGAAGGGTGTGGTTAGAGTGATTCAGTAAATCCCCATGTGAGTAGGAGAGTTGGGACCAGAAATACCAGAACCATCTTCAGTCAGAGTCCACTGGTTGGCTCACATTTACTGACCGTGAGCTATGGGCGAGCCACTGGACTCTGCATTATGGGAGAACAAAAGGCATTCAAGCCATCATCCCTGCCCTCCAAGTCTTCAGATGTACAGGAGATAACATAAAATGTTGAAAAGTTCCATGATATTGCAGAAATTTAACAAATGTTAAAGCCAGCAAACCAAGAAATGTCCATGGATCCTTGAACCATCTGAATTTTTAAGTAATACTTTATTTTTTAGACACTACCTGTAAGTTTTTGGAAGCAAGCAAATGTAACCTAAATTCTAGTCAGGTAGTCAAACCACCTGAGTAAAATGTGGTCCATTTACTTGACCTGTATAACTACAGTTACTTTTACTCAGTGAAAGCTTTTTTAATAACCTCTCTATGATTTGCATTATGCGAGGTGATATGGATCATGGAACAGGGTATGCAGCACAGACTTTTCCTTCTGTGAATCATAATTACTTTGGGAACTAAGATGTATACACACAATGTAAACTAAACTAGAGGCATGAAGTGCTGGGCATGTTTGAAAGAATGGCTGAGTGGATAGGTGCATGAGTTCTGTGACACAGACCTGAACCTTCAAATCTGTACATTCCCAGCCTTATTTTGTTTTCTCAAGACTCAGAATACTCTGCAAGTAAAAAGGATTAGTATATACAGACACCTTTAATGCCACTGGAAGTACTATCGATTTTCCATACATGGCTGTTATACTTTTTCTCTTAAGACTTTTAAAGACAGATAAACTTGGGTTATATTTTCACGAAAACCAACAAAATTTATTGAGATATTCATAAGTGGGGACTGTAACAGAAGTTGCTGAACTGCAGTCCATCATCTGATCATGGCCTGTAGATGTGCTTTATTTGGACTATTTTTAAAAAATTTGAATCAGTTGCTAACATTTAAAAATCAAAAATTTCACATAAACTCCAAATGTCCACTGTAACCTGAAAAGTCAAATGTTCTGGCACATTGGGCATGGATTCCTGCTTGGGACAGTGTGCTGCAGCTGAGTGGCAGGTGCACTTTAATTCTTGAGTCCATCTTTGCATATGAACCTTTCCTGCCTGGCCCCTGGAGGCCTGTGAGTCTGGAACCCTTGCTCTGTGGTCTCTCCTGGTCCCTCTTCCGTCATCGTGTCAGACTTTAGCCAAGATGTTACTTTTTTTTTCTTCCAACAAAATTGTCTGTTGCTTGTTTACAAGGAGCAAGAAAGTGATTTTGGAGTGTCACTACCAGGCAAAGAAATGAAATTCACAGGCTTATTAACACTAGAACATACACCAACCTCTTGCCCTGAAAATCACTACTCCCCTAGCCATTCCTGCCCTGGTACAAATAAGAAGTTAAAACTGAAGTGTTTGGGAAGTGATTGTCTTTCTTTTAACCTGTATTTTTTACAATTTGTAAGTTATATGCTTTTACTAATTATGAAGGTAATACATGTTCATTGTAAAAACCTTGAACAATATAAAATGCATAAATTCTTTGATTGTATTCCATTCTAGTCTTCTATTATGCATGTGTACTTTTAAAAATGGGATTATGTACTATGTGATTTAATGTCCTTTTTTTTCATTTAATAGTATAAAATGAACATTTCCCTATTCCATTATAATAGTCTTTGAAAGTATGGTTTTTGATGGCTGCTAAATATTCCAACACATGGATATACCAAAATTTATTTAACTGTTTTCCTTTTGGAATTTTTAACTGTTTCATTTTTATTCTATTATGAATAGCACTGTAATGAATATCCATGTATTTATATCTTTGTTCACATCTTTGATAATTTTTGTAGGATACATTTGTAGAAACAGAATTTATATGTATTGTTTTCATAACTTTAAAAATCTATAATTAAATTAAATAGTACTGTTTAAGAATTGTTCTCTCCTAAATATGCATGTATTCATGTGGGGTCAAAAGCCCTGATGAATCAAATTTATTCATTGACTGAGGAGTGTAATGGTCAATATGTGTTTGTATTTCCAGGCATTTTCAGATGAATTTGACAAAAGGGCTAATGGAAATCTTGTCAGTGACAAAATTGCCAAGGCTGAAGATACACAAGGTTCAGTAAGGCTTTTAAATTGAGAAATGATTTCTAGTTGCTAAGTAACTATTCAGTGACAGGTAAAAGATGGTAGTGATGATTTTGATGAAAATAATGAGTGATAAATAAGATACTAAATTATGTTTCATACAACTGAGCATGAAAGCCACTGGCCATGTCTATGAGATCTGGAGCAAAAGAGAAGGCAAGTTATACAGTTCGTACAATGGATTTTTAAGTAATTACAAGACTACTGTTTTCTAAGGATAAGATGACATGTGTTTTCCAAAGTAGACAAATTTAGAGAGACAATGCCAACCAAAAACTTCTATGTCAAATTTGCTGCTGCTATATTTGTTTATCTTGTTTGGGGTTCAGTGAAGCTTCTTGAATCTAAAATGTATGTCTTCCATCAAATCTGGGAATTTTTCAGTTATTATTTCTTCGAATATTTTTTTCTGCTGTGGTCTCTTTAATGTGAATACTAAGCCTTTCAACAGTGTCCTATAGGTCTGTTCTCCACCCTTCCGTCACCCTATCTTTTTTCTCTCTGTTCTTCAGATTGGATAATTTACGTTAATCTACCTTCAAGCACTGAGTCTTTTCTCTGTCTGCTGTACTATTGAGCCCATCCAGTGAATTTTTTATTTCAGATATTGCTTTTTTAAGTTCTAAAATGTCCATTTAGTTCTTTTTTTTTTAATTGTTTCTATTTTTCTGCAAGAGCTCATATTTTTCCATTCATCCCAAATCATATCCATTCATTCAAATGTGTTTACTTGACCTCATGGATCACAGTTGCAGTACATGCTTTAAAACTTTTGATAATCCCAGCATCTGGATCACTTTGGTATTGATGTCTGTTGATTGTCTTAATCTTTGAGAGGTGGTCACATTCTCAAGGTTCTTTATATGACAAGCAATTTTGGAATTTAGGCTGGACATTTTTTTTTTTTTTTTTTGGCAACTGGCCAGTACAGGGATCCAAACCCTTGACCTTGGTGTTACCAACAGCACACTCTAACCAAATGAGCTAACTGGTCAGTCCAAGGCTGGCCCTTTTTGTATTATGCTATGAGACTTAGGTTCTGTTAAAATCCTCTGGAGGATGGTGATTGTTTTGTTTGTTTGTTTAGCAGGCAGTCAGGTGGCTAAGTTCATTCTGCAAGTTCTGTCTCACCTTCTGTGCAGGCAGTGGTTCCAATGTCAGTGCAGTTCTCAAAACTTTTGCATGCTCTGGGTCTGCCCCACACATGTGCAGTTCTGGGGTGAGCCTGGGACTTATTCCAGTTCATACACAGAAATAGGGGATCCTTTTCTCCAGCTCTCACCTTTCCAGGATTCCCCTCCCTTTCTCTGGCTTGCAAGAGCCCATTTTCTACATCCTGTAGCCAGAAAGACAGGGTTTTTTCAGAGTTTAAGCTACCAGTCATGTTGCCTCACAATTCTGCATCACCAGGGTTGCCCTTGAGCAAAGTGGAAAGAGAAAAGAAGTAAGAAAAAATAACAGGGATGTCCCATACACACACACATCTACTTTTCAGACCACAGGGGCCCTTTTTCCTGATTCTTCTGGCCAGAAGTACAGAATGTCTCAGAGTTTTAGCTCCCCGTGGAGCCAAGGTAAAGTTCTGCACCTGGGGTCACCTCGGGCAAGGGCCTGAATGAAAAAAGAAAAACATACGGAAAAAAATGAGAATTTCCTTCCATATTCTTCAGCTTACAGGGACCCCTTTCCCCAGTCCTCTGTCCATAGAGATTTGTCGCCTGTGCTCATGGTTCAGTTCTGCAGTGAGGGCCACCCTGGGGTCAAAGCTGGAAGAGGAAAGAGGAAAAATTTTAAAACAAAATGGGAAACTCCCCCCTGTGCAGGTTGCTTTTCAAGTTTTGACTTACTTTTCAGAGTTCTCAGGTGGTGGTTTTTTCTATTTGTCCTGAGCTTTTAGTTGTAGTCAGTGGAAGAGATAGGCTTTAGTGTGTCAACTTCACCTTGGCCAGCACCAGAGTTCATGTCTGATATGTTATTATATTTTCTAATTCTTTTTAAGAAACAGACCATCACTGGGGCTCAGGATCAGGGCCAGGTTATAGGCCAGAGGTCTCAGAGAGTGAGAGGGAAGATGTAGGTAAGGGGTATGTGTGATGGCATGAGACCTAAGTCATTCTTGCTATTGCTGACTTGGTCATTGACTCCATGTTTTTCTTTTTAGGTTTTTATGGGACTCTTTCTAGCCCTGATTTAGGAGTGCATGAAATGAAGATTGGCCCTATCAGCTTCCAGGTGGCCTCTGGAGATATCACCAAAGAAGAGGCAGATGTGATCGTAAATTCAACATCAAATACATTTAATCTCAAAGCAGGTACTTGTACAATTTTGAAGAGTGGAATAATTAACACAGTAGATCCCATGAAGGAAGGTTTCTATAGCCAAATGGTTTTTATAACTTTGGCTTGTTAATATTAATCAATCATTATAAAATTATTTTGACAGGGTTTCTGATCATTAGTAAGTTATTTTATGAATTTTTCTTCTTTGTTATCAGCAATACCCAGATTATAGGATTCCTCTGATGGTGGGGAATGCGTTTAGATCATGAGGCAGTCCTTCTGATCCAAATTTTGTTACTGATGTTTGTTACTGTCATGATTTTCTCATGTAGGGGTCTCCAAAGCAATTTTAGAATCTGCCGGACAAAATGTGGAAATGGAGTGTTCTAACCAAGGTAAGGCACGATGCTGTCGTTTGGTCCTAAACTGTAAGTGGAAAACTGAATGTGGGAGGCCGTGGAGAGGCTGAGGAAGGTCCTGGGACTGGGGAGACAACATGTTAGTCTTAAAATCATAAGTTTTACTGAAGAATTCCAATCATAGAGGATTAGAAGTGAAAAATAATCTCACAGTTACAAAGAGAAGTTAAGCCATAAAATTTCATCAAAGATAATACTTCTGGAGTTTCTAATTCACAAAATTCTTACTTGTTCATCAGACATTTTGCTTTCTAAACAAAGGTGGGTTCAACATCTAATTTTGCATCTTTTTGTCTGTGTTGCCCAGCTCAACAGGGCAAAAATGATTACATAATTACTACAGGTGGATTACTGAGGTGCAAGAATATCATTCATGTCGTGGGTGGAAATGATGTCAAGAAATCGGTTTCCTGTGTTTTGCAAGAGTGTGAAAAACGAGATTACTCTTCCATTTGCCTCCCAGCCATTGGGACAGGTTTGTGGCCTCTGAATGTCAAGGCTAAACCCCAGGGTGTCCACTGTCCCTTAGCTTTGGTACTGAGTGTTAATGTGGTCAGTGCTGAGTCTGAGTGAGAGCAGCAGTGGTTAATCCAGGTATGGACAGCCGCCCTGGGGAAAGGCTAAGCCTGTGGATGGTTTAAGTAAAAGAGGAAAAAATGAAGGATACTGAAGAGTTGGAATATTAAAGAGTCAGAAGGAAGGGAAGGGAGAGGAAGGGAGGGAACGGAAAGAAAGGCTGTCCCTCATTCTCTCGTATCCATTCCTTTCTCTTTTTCGCTTCCATACGTATCCTCCAGTATTTAGTCCTTAACTTCCCACATCGTGCATCAACTTCCACCTTGCCATAGCTGACTCCCAGAGGAGCATTTCCTGCCTTCAACTAAGCAGTCAGCTGTGTCAGTTGGCGTTAGGGCATCTCTATGTAGAAGCTTCTCTGTCACCAGAACTTAGAGGGTCTGAAATTCAACTCTCCACTTTCCTGTTTTCAACCTACTTGCCTCTTTTGAATTTCTTGTTTTCCTCAAGCTATATGATGATTGTGTGACTTTTCATATATAAGGATTGTGCTTTGGGTTTATCATTAGGTGATGCTTTTTCCTCAGGAATCAGAGTCACATGCACTGATTGGGAACTTCCGAGGTGGTCAGGGGAGGCGTGCACTCAGGCTGAAGTAGACTGGAGCTGGCTGGTCCCAGTGAGAGGACGCAGCATTGGACCTGTCATCCTGTGCTCAGGAGTCTACATCTGAATGTCATAGACTAGCATTCTAGGTTCTCCAAAAGTTTAGCCTCAATAAATTTAACTATTCTTGGGCCGGCCCAGTGGCGCACTCGGTAGAGTGTGGCGCTTGGGAGCGCGGCGGCGCTCACGCCGAGGGTTCGGATCCCATATAGAGACCGGTCCGCTCACTGGTTGAGCGCGGTGCGGGCGACACCGAGGGTTGCGATCCCGTTACCGGTCACAAAAAAAGACAAAAAGGAAAAAAAAAATTTAACTATTCTTGTCACTTTCTGGGCCTTCCTCTAATCCTCTAACCCATATCTTACTTTCTGTAATTCTCTACCATTCTTCATAATGTTCCTAGATGGAATTTTTGGTCTTCTTTGCTACTTTTATTTTTCTATAAGTATAATTTATTATCCTTTTATGTTTTCATTATTTTTATAGTATCATCCATACCTAGCAGATTGGCAAACATTTCTGTCTGTTGTCTATCTATCTTTCTATCTATCTAGTTATCTATCCTTTATGGTCTGATGACTCCCCAGTGTCTGTCTCCTGTCCACAAGGAGCACCTAGCCTAGTGTGAGAGACAGGTATGTAAACAGCATGAGATACAACGTGACCCATCATACAGTGAAGGGGTGCAGGTGGCAAAAGATGGGGAGGGAAGGGTCAAGAATAAACACAATTGGCCACTAGATCCTCCTGACTTTACTTCCTAAATATCTCCTCAGTCCCTACACCCTGCTCTTCCTTCTAGCCTCCTCTCTTTGTTCAGCTCTTGTCTTTTGCCTAAACTTTTGTTATAGCCTCCTAACTAGACCTGAGCTCCCCATTCCAGTGTTTCCTCACACCCCTCAAGATTTATCTTTCTCAAAAACAGGTCTATTCTCCTGTACATTCCAGTCTGAACATACCATGCCCCTGTTACACAGTTCTATTTAGCTTAGCCTTTCCCTGAATTTACCGTACTTCGTCTGTTGAACACCTATTCATCCTCACCTATCATATCCTCTGTGTCCTAGTAAGGGCCAGGCTGAATATATAGCCTGTGATGGCATGTAGTAGATGTTTATTGAGAGTGAATGAATGTATCTGAATGCTTCCATTTAAACTCTTCCAAATAGCAAAGGAAAACCACAGCTTTGCAGAGGAGAATTTCCCTTCTTCCATGATCATCTAATTTAAAAAACCCCTCATGGTTAATTTTATATGAGGTTTGTCTACATTCCCACAGTTGTCTGCATGCCAAGTCAGAGAGGTCTACTCTCATTTTCTGCAATAGTGGTGGGCACCATTAACAGAGATAATCCAAGTGGACTCTTAGGCTATCACACCAGCTTGGCCAGGGGACGTTTACATTGCCCACCATGTGACTTTGCCACCTGCCATTCATATGGGACCAGTTTCATGGCTAGAAAGAGATTTTTCATGATCTCATCTAGGCAGTGGCTTTCCTGGCTTGAGAAACAGGATATGGAGCATGCTGAAAACAGGAAGAGATCTTCTCAGAGTGGCTACCTCAAACCCTGCTGATCAGCTACGATCTCACTGAGTATGGGAGGGAAGACTTCGTGGAGGCTTATGAGTAACTTGTGTGCACAGAATTATAGATCGCAACAAGTATCTTATAGCTCCACATGTCTTAAAAAATTAGCTTAGTTTAAATCAGGCCCCCAAAGAGATCTAGGAGGATACATGCATAAAATCAAGTGATGACTAAGCCAAAAATATGTTTTTCTCTTTGAAGAGCATGTTGTTTCAACATACATTAGCATCTTATGCTTTTTATATATCTTTTAAGAACACTAGTAAGCCCAGGAGAAAAGTTACCTGTGCTCTGTAACAGGAAAAACACAATGAGCTGGAATCAGCTGAATAGAGCAGATATGAACATCAGACACCAAAATTTTGGTTTCTGGGTCCTTTGCTCATTGCTGGGCTGTTGGTGTCCTGATGTCCTAGAAGAAAATCTCCCCATTGCCTCCAGGACTTCAAACATGTTCGTTGATGCAGTGTTAGAAAAGTCCACAGTGATGAAAGAATTGGGGAGGGGGATTTACTCTGTGAGAATTGCGATCCTTATTCCTTAGCCTTTTCCAGGTGGGTCTTTTTTTTCCACCATTTTTATTATTTGCTGTTCCAGGAAGTGCCAAACAAGACCCAGATAAAGTTGCCAAAGCCATAATTGATGCCATTGAAGACTTTATCCAGAAAGGATCAGTCAAGTCTGTGAAAAAAGTTAAAGTTGTTATCTTTCTGCCTCAAGTACTGGATGTGTTTTATGCCAACATGAAAAAAAGAGAAGGGTCTCAGTCTTCTCCCCAACAGTCTGTGATATCTAAACTTGCATGTGAGTTGCTCATTTTTATGACATGAATTTTTCTAATATTCATGCCACATGAAAAATAGCTAATCTTCCTTTTCTTTTTAGCATTTTTGGGCTTTTCAAAACAATCCCCAAAAAAACAGAATCCTTTGGTTTTGGAAAAGAAAACAGAATCAGCAATTTTTCAGGTATGTGGTGAAGATATGAAAAATGTGGAAAGCAGCATCTCCTGGATACAGGAGCTGATTGAAAAGGAACAGTGTCCTTATACCTGTGAAGATGAGTGTATCAAAGACTTTGATGAAAAGGAATATAAGGAATTGAATGAGCTGCAGAAGAAGTTAAATATTATCATTTCCTTGGACCGTAAGAGACCTTCAATTCAGGTTTTGGGAATTACCAGAGATGTGTGGAAGGCTAGAAATGAAATTGAGAAAATGATCAAGAGAGTTAGATTGTCCAAAGAACAGGAATCCCGGGCAGACTGTATCAGTGAATTTATAGAATGGCAATATAGTGACAACAACACTTTTTGTTGTTTTGATAAAATAACCAATCTGCTATTGGAGGATGCAAGGAGAGGAAAAAAAGGGACAATTGATATCAAAATTAACAATCAGAAGTATACAGTGAACTTGGAAACAAACACTGCTACAGATGCAAATGGAAGAAATTTACATGTTCAGCGCCTCACAAAATCTGAAGGTGAGTTAAACTTTTATGCTTATCATCCATTATTTTTCACCTACTTTGAGCTTAACACTATTTTGTACATACATCAAAATTTCAAGTAGATAAGATTCAAATAATCCTGATGGAATAAACTAGAAAATTTGATGTCTGAACTTAAAGAGCTTTGCTTGTGGTCAGGAAAACACAGTGTGGACATATGCAACCGCCTGAGGGTGACCATCTTAATGGTAACAATAGCCAAACCTTGCATTGTTCCCATCTCTACGGTTCCCTGAGCTGGTTCTGCTGGGGAGGTAATGGCTGCTTTAGTTGGGGTGTCGGGGGGAGGTGGGTGGGAAGGGAACCATCGGCTTAAAAGAAAAGTGGCCCAAGGTTTTCTAGAACAAAAGGGCAAAGGGGAGGAAATGCAGAAGGCAGCATGGTCAGAGAGTAGGCCCCTCTGTGTCTGTGACTTACCACCCAGGAAGGATTGAGAGCCTGTGGGAATTTCTTCCATAGTCACCTCTACCCTGAGCGGAAGGTTCCTTGACACACATGTCAGGAAGTAGCCTTCAGATTCTCTGACTGGATCAGCTCCCCAAGAAGGGAATGCCTGTCTTGTGGAGACAGCCATTCCTGACTTCAAACCACGTAAGTCCCCCACTGAAAACTAGTAAATTAGCTTCCAGTGCACTCTATTCACCTTCTGTGAGATCAGTGTGAGTGAATTCCTCAGACTCTGAGCAACTGTGGGGAAATGACAAATCACATATAGTATTCTGCTTAGCAGAGTAGGAGGCAGACCTGCCACCATAACCTGTCACATAGCAAAACCCACCATCCACCTGCCTCTTAAGGATGCCGTGAAGAATAATGAAAAATTAGATGTGGAGTACCTTGAGGTGTTGATGGTGAGGAGTCCTGGTGAAAGTCTGTGCATAAACAAAACCGGAGCAACTACTTAAAATGTTGCAGGGACGTAATCTATTGTTAAATCATGGCAGATCGGGGACTGAACAGAAAATGCAGATGGGTTGTATACTGCTCCAACAGTTCTCAAATTCTAGCATGACCAGAACTTTAAGATGTAGACCCGCAGGCTCCACCCCTCAATAGGATCTATGGTTCAGTGGATCTTTGGCTTTTTTTCTTTTTAACAAGCATTCCCGATGGTTCTGATGTAGGTTGTCTGTGGTTCACACTGTGAAAAACATTCTCCTAGAAAGACAAGGAACTTCTTGAACACATAGATTTACAATTAGGAAATTATAAAACAAGAACACATATGACACTCAGTTTTTCAAAACCTACTGGGAATGTGTAAGGGGAGCCCTCAAATGTCTACTTTGCAGTTGAAATCCCTGCACACTGGAGTGACATGAAGCAGCAGAATTTCTGTATGGTTGAGCTGCCACCTAATAATCCAGAATTCAACACTGTTGCAAGCAAGTTTAATCAGACCTGCTCACACTTCAGAATAGAAAAGGTAAGCCTTCTGCTGAAATGGAGTTTCGTAATAGTGGGAATAGTGGTATCATGGTCCTATACAAATACATTTTCATTCACCTTCTATAACATTTTTTTATCTCGAATTATTAGAATTTTTATGGTAATTCGATTTTAGATTCTAGATTCTACTCATGTCACCATAATTACTGAGACATTAAGGTTCTTGTGTCAGTTATTACAGTATTAGATTGTAATATGATACTGAAGATACACCATGTTTACTTTGTGAAGCAAGCTAATAAAATTTCAAAGATATGGCTTCGAAGTTGGATTTGCTCACTAGCCAGCACTGCAGGGAGACACAGCGGTTCCTCAGATCGGGATGCTCTTCTGCCCCTATTCACAGGGCAGCAGTGTTTACTTCCCTGATAAATCCAACGGCCTTTTCCTTGTTCATAACAATTGCTTTGGCATCTTCCATTTTTCAACATTATTAAAATTGCTCTTTGAAATTATATTCTTCCATGACTTCTATGGCAATATTATTTTGATTCTTTTTTCTCTTTCTTTAACTAATTTTCCTTTCTTAATCACCGGTATCTGTTTCTCCTCCAACCCCCCAATTCTAGCTTTACCCATAGGACTTACACTTTGGTCTTCTGTCTCTGTACCTCACCGGGGAATGTTTTACCCTCTTGGCTTCAGCTATTATTTCAATATTGCTATCTCCCAAATCAGCATTACCAACCTGGATCTTTGACTCAAGTTCTAGAACATACTCTCAGTGGCCTAAAAAAATCTCCACTTGAATATCTAACTGCTAAATCCACTTCTCTAAAACCTCACTATTCATCTATAAGGGATTCTCTCTATCCCTCCTTCCCCGTTTCTGTCCTTGGTTCCACCACCTTTTGGGTAAAGCCAGAGATCTTTGAGCACCTTCCCTTCATCCATAATAACGAGTCCAGTAAGGCCTGAACATTTTCTCTCGGTCTTTCTCTGCACTGCCACCACTCTGTTTATTCATGTAGTTAAACAAATAATAATTCAAAAAAGATTTAAAATGTCCTACAAAGATTTTCTCACATACCATACCTTCAGATAAAATAAATGGATGAAGAAAGATGGATAAAGAGAAAAAGAGGGTAGGGAAAATAAGATATACAGAGTATGACTAGTTCACAAAAAATAAATAACATGCGATCCTTGTCAGTTACTAATTTGTCCCTCAGCTTCCTAGTAGACAAAGCAAAGAAGTAAACACCCAACTACAAGACTCAAAGTCTGTAAATTAAAAAGTAAGAATCATTTAATGAGGCGACTCAGCTCTTTACAGTGCTGAAACTGATTCCTGGGATATTTCTCCTGTGGATCAAGTTCTGGAGAACATCATCCTCACAATAAATTCAATATCAGATTTTATACCATTGTTGTTTTTTAAACATATCCCTTAATGTAAATCACTTAAACAAAACTGATGCCTCATTAAATGAAACAATTCTGTGAGGCACCAAGACAATGTAATTTTGTCTCTTTTTTATACCATTGTTGTTTTTTAAACATATCCCTTAATGTAAATCACTTAAACAATACTGATGCCTCATTAAATGAAACAATTCTGTGAGGCACCAAGACAATGTAATTTTGTCTCTTTGCAGCTCTTTGATGGTCTAGTTCTGAAAGAACAAATAAGTTTTATTCCAAATACCAATTACAGTCAACTGATAGTGGCTGACTTGCTCATTGTGATGAGCTGCCAAGTTCTGACTGGGCAGGAATGAAGTCCTGGTTGATCAGTAGTGTCTGCAGTGGGCCTTGTGGAGACTCTGGCCATGAAATTATTTCAACACGTTTTTACAGAGGAACCATTTTTCAAATAAAATCTTACATGAAATCCCTGCGTAGGTAGTACTTAAGGCTCTGTAGAGTTCCCCAGTAGTGTAAAAACATCAGTATGCAAAATGGGTGGTCTGTCATTTATAACTGGCATTTATAACAGTTTTCATGACTGTTAGGTTTAATGATTAAGATTTTTAACATCCATACATCTTCCACTTAGACTCAACATTTTTGCCACATTTTCTTTCTCACCCTCTCTCTGGTTTTGCTGAAGCATTTGAAAGTAAGCTGCAGACATCGTGACACTTACTCCTAAATATTTTGGAACATGTCTCCCAAAAATAAAAACTTTCTCCTAAATTACAATAGCATTATCCCATGTAAGAAAATTAACATTAGTTCTATAATATCCAACATAAATCCATATTCCCAATTGCTCAAAAAACTTTCTTATAACTCCGCCCCCCACATCTGAGTTCACACACTGTATCTGGTCATTACGTCTCCTTTGTCGCTTCTAATACAGAATAGTATTCCTGCATTAAAAAAATTCTTCTTTGTGACACTGAATTTTTTAAAAGCATTTAGCCAATTGTGTTGTAGAATATCCCACATTCTGGATCTATCATGCCTTGATTTGGGGGGAAGAATCCAAGCCAGCTTTCTTATAAATTCTAGATTTGTCTGATTCTTTAGTGTCATTTAATTTATTCCTCTGTCCTCTTTATTTTTGGTAAGTTTAGAGTTAGGTTGAAAGGCTTGAGTAAATTCATATAAATATTTTTTGCAAGAATACTTCATGGGTGATACACAAGGAGCTCCATATCGTAAGGTTGTCTCACTATTAATGATGCAGTTTGATCTCTAGTTAAGGTGGTGACCGCCCTACTTCTCCACTGGAATCAGTAGGTTATCTGTGGAATGCTGTTTTGTCACTGAGCATCCTGTTCTCCAACAGCCTTTTACCAATTGATTTTAACATCCATTGATGATCCTTGCCTGAATCCATTATTATTACACTAGAGGTTACAAAATGGTGATTTTCTAATTCTGTCATTCCTTCTATACTTATTACTGATATTTTTGTAAAGAATAAATATTCTTCCTTCCAGCTTTAAAAAAATTTTTGGTGTGTTGTACTTAATTGCAGTGATTATTCTTTTAGATGCACAAATTATCCTACATCTGACTGGTAGGAAGTTGGCTCCCGTGTCTTTTGATGATCCCAGTAGTCTTTGAGCATTTCTTTACTTTCAGACACAAGATCTCTCATGCTCACCCCGTGCTTTCCATGTCCCAGGCCTGGAATCAGACATTTCTCTAATAAACCCTGATTCCACTTAGTGGGGAATGGTAGTGAGAAACCAAGAGTTGTGTGCTGAGTGTGCTCATTGCTGCTGAGGTGTTGTTGCTTCCAGGCCCTTTCATGGCTAGAGCTAAGGAAATCATGAGCTCATATTCATGGTTTCAATTAAAATTTAATATTGTAGATTTTTTTCTTAATATATTTTTATATTTATGTCTCTTTTCCTGTACAATGGAAATTTTGGTTCCTGATAACAGTATATATTTACCTATTTGTTTTATCCTATAGCGTACATAAAATTGTTTCAATCTTAAGATACCAAAATTATTAGCAATATTAAAATAGCTATGCCAGCTTTCTGTTGGTTATTGTTAGCATGTTATATCTTTTTGCCATTCTTTTTCATCTAACCTTTTTGTAACTGAATATTTAAGATGTGTCTCCTGGTAGCAGCATATACTTGTTTTGTTGGTTATTGTTAGCATGTTATATCTTTTTGCCATTCTTTTTCGTCTAACCTTTTTGTAACTGAATATTTAAGATGTGTCTCCTGGTAGCAGCATATACTTGTTTTGTTTTTCTTCATCCAGTCTAACAGTCTTCCTCTTTTAATTAAAGTACTTAATCTGTTTACTGTATTTATTGAAGTATTTGTGTTTAAATATAACATATTAATCTTTGTTTTCTATTTATCACATCTATTCTTTGTTCTTTTTTCTTCCTTTCCTGCCTTCTTTTGGACTAGGTATTTCTATTCTTCCATTTTCACCCCCTATTAGATTGTTGGTCATGCATTTTGTTACAATTCTTTCATTGGTTACCCTAGATATTATGTGCATCCTTGACTTATTAAATACTAATGTGACACTAGCCACCTTTGCCTACCCCTCACTCCTCTCAGGACAGCCTTATGAAACTGCCACTACTTGGTGATTAGGGAGTTTAGAAGCTGACCTGCAATCTCACAGTTCCCACCACAGCCCTGGAGGCCACTGCCAAAGAGTATGGTCAAAGCACGGCCACTTTAGCCTACAGCCAGATCTCCTCCCAACAGGATTCATGCCCCTCTCTGCCAACTGGACCAGAGATTAATTTTCATTAATTAATTTCCTTCTTGCCTAGACACTCTAGTGCTTCTCTCACTGTTTAGGGTAGCTAGTATCCCAGAAGGACTGAGGCAGCGAGAGGCAAAGTGACAAAGCAAGGCAGACAGCAGCAGGAGCAGTTGTTAGCGTGTAGGGTAGAACACAGGAGTTGAGAGTCTGGTTCAGCAGAGTGCAAATAGCGAGTATGTAAGATCCTAAACATTCTTCGCTCAGGTGGTGCATAAAAGATGTTAAAAATTAAACCAACATTCTTCCCAATGCCTGTTTTTAGGAAACACTGGATCTAAAAATATTTCTGAATGAAGAAAACTGCCATGTGGCATTGAAGGTGCTGTTTAGTGTAATTTTTATTTATTTATTTATTTTTTATTATTATTATTTTTTTTGTCTTTTTTCCATGTCCGGCAATGGATCGCAACCCTCAGTGTTGCCCCCGTACAGTTGTTAGCGTGTAGGGTAGAACACAGGAGTTGAGAGTCTGGTTCAGCAGAGTGCAAATAGCGAGTATGTAAGATCCTAAACATTCTTCGCTCTCAGGTGGTGCATAAAAGATGTTAAAAATTAAACCAACATTCTTCCCAATGCCTGTTTTTAGGAAACACTGGATCTAAAAATATTTCTGAATGAAGAAAACTGCCATGTGGCATTGAAGGTGCTGTTTAGTGTAATTTTTATTTATTTATTTTTTATTTATTTATTTTTTTTTGTCTTTTTTCCATGTCCGGCAACGGATCGCAACCCTCAGTGTTGCCCC